TATCATGATAGTTTATTTAGATATTTAAATTAAATTTTATTTTAATTGAACATCTCAACTTTTAATAAAGTGTTTCAATTACATATCTTCAACTCATATTTTGAACTTTTCTTTTGTATGTGTTTTCAAGTTGATTACATAAATTAAAATACAGGAACGGCTCAATGTACTTGGAGGCCTAAAGAAATTTTTTAATTAAAGGCCTAAAATCTTTTAGCTAGCAATTATTATATAAATTGTTAACATTATTCTATAAGTAATAAGTTGACAAAACTGCTTATAAGCTTCTTCTTCTTTTTGTTTAAAAATACATAAAATAAGTCAATCTAAACAAGCTTGTAATTCACTTTATCCAAAACATGATTTTTACTATTGATTCATATTTTTGATAGAGTTGTAACTTACATATAGTATAAAAGGGGTCTAGAAAATTACAATGCAAGAGTTAGTGAAGAGAATGCAAGAAGACAAAACAACATTCTTCTTGATTTCTTCTATTTGATTGAGGTTAAGGAGAATAAAATAATATATATATATTTTTTAAGAAAAATGCATTTATCTTAGATAATTAATTTTTTCTATAAAAAAATTAACACATAATTTTTTGTGGTAAAAATTAGAGGCCCCCTAAAATTGGGGGACTAAGGCATATGCCTAATTTTTTTATAAGCATTGAGTCGGCACTATTAAAATATGATACATTTTTTTATTATACACATTTGTCTCAATAAGCCGTAAAATGACAGACGTTTTCTAGTTTGAAATTAATGTGTATAATTAAGGAAATATATATCATATTTCATGTGGTTAACTTACTACCTAATAAACCAATGAAAACACACATAACTTCTTTTCTTTTTTGAAATTTGAACCGAAAATATTTAATTAGACCACTTTAATAAAAATTGAGGTATTAAATGAAAATTCAATTTAGTCCAGATATTATTAAAAAATATTCTAAAAAATTTAAGAAACTTATTATATATCAAGCTTAAAATAAAAGAGAAAATAAGATACTTTTGAACTCCGAAAAATGGACATAAAAAGGAGAGAGGGGCCGCACGGGTGGAACAAGACTTTGTTGGGCTCTGTCTTTTCTTTCTGCTTCATACTGCTCATGACTGTCCCTCCCACCCACCGGCCTCCTCTCCCGAAACAACGAAATAATACGATAACTGAAATATTATAAATAATTAATGACAATGCATATTCAAAAAAATAAAATTTTATAATGGTTATCGAATTCGATTGATATTAGACTTCTAGCTCTAGCCCTACTATTAACTGTAAAAAATGCCAACACGAGTTGTGGTGCACTGATGTGAGTGTTTCACCCTTTGCTGAAGGTTTCAGGTTCGAGCCCTGGATATGAAAAAAATCCTGTTGGAAGCGCAAAAAAAAAACTGTAAAAAGTAGTCTCGCGTATGATATTTGCACAATAACTAAATGTAATTTAATTAAGTTAATTAAAAATATACTAAATGTAATATATATTAATAGAAAAATAGAAGTAGTTATTTTATATTTATTGATTTAACTTATATAAACAAGTTTTGCCCTCACAATCAACTAGTCTGTCTATCCTCCATAGTTATACTTCGTTTTAGTTATTTCGGTTATCATATTACTTATTATTGGTATAATATAATATTATTTATTTGTCTTACTTTATTTGACTTTTTTTTTTTTAATCCATCTCTATTTAATAACAATTTGATTCTAAATTGTCCATTTTATTATTAATGAAATGATTTATAGTCATACAAATATTTATGATTTATTTTAGACCACAAGTTTGGAAAGTCTTTCTTTTTTAAACTCCATGACATGACAAACTAACACATATAAATTAGGACGAAGTTATGCTTTGCACTCATCCAAACCGTTATATTTTTTTTTTAGTCGAGAATCTTTCAGAACACTCTTTTATCTTCAACAAAGTAGGATATAATGTTTGTGTACGTATCTTCTTTATTTAATCGATAAAATTATACTAAATATGTTATTATCGGTATTATCTACTCTCCATAAGCACGTTCCTCTAAGGATTCTTGCTGTCGGTTTAATTACTCCCATATCTCTAGCTTTTCACATCTTCTATTCTCATATTCATACTATATACCAAAAAAAGAAATTTTAAAAAAATGTTTTCATGTAGCACTTCCATGATTTTAGCATAATTTTATTATTTAAATATTTTTTTGAAATAAATTAAAATAAAAGTATAACAAAGATCGAGGAAGTGGTATATACATTGGAATACTGGTTTGTTCAAAAAACAACAAATAAATAAATAAGTGAAATCTCATAGTGGAGAATAGTTAGTACTAGGAATCACCTTAAACGATATTAACAATATTATTGTTAATAGCAATAAAAACTAATTAACAATGCAACTCTCCACTATGTTACTTTTAAATGTATTATTTTTTATTAGGGAAAAAGGTTTGAAATATATCCGAATTTTGGCCGAAATTGTTGTAACAATACCGATCCTTGGAAAAGACCTTTTACCCCCTGGACTATTTAATAGTGTATTTTAAAGGTATATATGTGCCCACGTGGACACGTTACTATTTATAATGATGAAATATTTATGATGTCCACATGAGCACATATATACCTTTAAAATACACTATTAAATAGTCCAGGGGGTAAAAGGTCTTTTCCAAGGATCGGTATTGTTACAACAATTTCGGCCAAAATTCGGATATATCCATAAAGTTTGATAACGTAACAACAATTTCTGCCAAAATTGGAGTATTTTCAGACCCTTTTATTACAATTTTAATTAATATATAAACAATTTCATATTCTTTATTTGTTGAAAAAATTTGCTTCTTTACTATTCAATTTTGACTTCCAGAAATTGGACCACTACTTATATATATATATATACACACACATATATATAATCTACTATATATAGGTACTCCCTCTATGACATTTATGTATAGGCAGTATATATTTAATTGATAATGGATTTTAACAAATGTAAAAAACAAGATTTTTAATATATGTCAAAAAATAATCTTAAAAAATCAAATTTATAATCTAAAAACTATAATATTTATAAAGCTCTAAAACATGTGATAAGTAGTATAAAATAAAAAGGTTTAAAAAGTTTCAAATATATAAAAATGTATTCTGTTAGATTTTTTTTTACAGATATTGCTATATAAAATGAACGAAAGAATATTGATTTAATACTTGTACAATTTACCTTAAAAAAAATATTAGATATTTTTTTCAACGGCTCGATACGTTATGAACATGATTACTTAATAGATGTGTTGATAAGAGATATATCCAATGAAAATTAATTGAAGTACACATAAATTGATCTGATCAATATCGTAATAATTTTATTTTTATTTTTGTGGTAGGGATGAGAAGTTGTCTTTCAATAGATATGGAGAAAAAAAGGGTAAAGACGAAAGATGCTTAGCTTTCCAATTGATTTAACGCCAAATAATGCCAATTATTTCCACATCATACTCGTGTGAGTTTGTAAATTCGAGACTGTAAAAGAGAATATTGTGAACATAAAATAAACTTTTATATTCCCTAAAAGGGAATATTGTTGGTCGCCAAAATAAGTATCGCTTTAACAAAATAAAATTATTCTCGAATTAGCAAGTAAAATGTTATCTCAAAATAATTGTTTTTTTTAGAAATTCAAGATAAGAAATAATAGTTATTTCGGAATATATCTTTGTATTATAGAATTATATCTTTTTAAAAGTGTTTAATTTTCAAGAAACATCTACTATAAATAAGGGTAACTTAGTGAAATGTACCTTTTTTCTAAAATAAGTGTGAAATGAGCTAAAACGACATTTATTTTCGGATGGATGGAGTAAGGATCAAAGTTGCACATATTCTTTCATGGAGAATTTTAAAAATTAAATAAACCTCTATATTTCATTTTAAAAAGATTTTGGCCCTCATAGATAATAATTATAATAGTAATTGAAAGGACTTGAGGCATTATTGATTTGCTTTTTATTGTTTACAAAAAAAAAAAAAGCAAAATATTGTGGGACAGACAATCTAAAGCAAATAGTTTAAATGATTTTTGGGCTGTCTAGTTTTATGTTAACAATGATTCAAGATTGATTAGAATGTCTGAATTACAAAAACATTTTAAGTTGGTGTTTGGGAAACAAATAATTATAAAGTTACAAAAATAGATTATTATTTTTTTAAAAGTGTTTAATTTTCAAGAAACATCTACTATAAATAAGGATAACTTAGTGAAATGTACCTTTTTTTCTAAAAATAAGTGTGAAATGAGCTAAAACGATATTTATTTTCGGATGGATGGAGTAAGGATCAAAGTTGCACATATTCTTTCATGGAGAATTTTAAAAATTAAATAAACCTCTATATTTCATTTTAAAAAGATTTTGGCCCTCATAGATAATAATTATAATAGTAATTGGAAGGACTTGAGGCATTATTGATTTGCTTTTTATTGTTACAAAAAAAAGAAGCAAAATATTGTGGGACAGACAATCATCATAATAATTGTTTTACACAAGATAATATTTTGTTTTATAGAATCCTCTTATTAACCCAATGGTTAAGTAATTAAGTACCTTATACCCTTCATAGTTTCTATGGCAAAAGACAAAAAAAAAAATTAAAAAAAAATAGTGAAACACCAAAACTAATCCTCACTAGAGTCATAAAAATCCATTTACATATATTAAGAAAAAAAAAGTGATGACGAAGAAGAATGATTTATCAAATGTTCAAGGAAATGTGAAGCAACAATGATTAGAAATGACAGTTCAGTGCACGAAGCATTATGCATTCTTGTATCATTCGAAGAAAAGTCGTATAGGAATATGAAATAAACAATTAATACATACACTAACACAATCATTAGTTATTGATTCCAATACTCAAAGTTTTAACATATAGATCATACTAAGACGATTTTACTATGAAGCAATAATGATGAACCAAATCAAGAATCCAAGATTGAAGAGTACTAAAGTAAAAACCAAGAAGGCTTCAATATCAATATAATCAAGCAAATTAGAAATACAATTTTTTTTTTTTAAAAAGAATGAGCTATAAGTTCCAACTTTTTTGAGGATAAATAATATATATCAACATACTCTTAAATAATGATATCTCTAAGTACACCTTCTATACAAATCTTCAAATCTTCATATCTTCAAACATTCATTCTTTCCTCTCATGCCAACACACAAGCATAGCAATGCATCTTCTTACAATATAAAACTTAGCCCTTTGCTTCTTTGCTATATGACTACACTTTTTTCCAAATGATTTTGTTGAGTTTTGTGATGAATTATTAATGTTGGAGTTGTGCTCTTCATCACTTTCTCTAATTGGTTCCATATGAATATATGAAACAAAAACAAAAAGAAGGAAAGCTATTTATACTACTACTTCTGAAATTTGCAGCTTGTGGCAGTGGATATATATATAAATATAATATAAGTATTTACTTTATTTTATACTACTATAGATTTGAGACTTTGAGTTACCCTTGTTTTAGTCTTTTACTATTTTCATCTAGTACTAGTACATTTGGTTGATCTACAATGTGTACAAATTTACCTATTGCAATATTATGCTAGATAAAAATGGTTCTTTTGATTTTACTATTATATATTCTCTTGGTCCCATACTCCCATTTGATATGTGACTGTGTTTTACTGTTTACGAAAAAATAATTGGCTTTTGAAACTTTTGCAGTAAAATTGGAATTTAGGGTTAAATTGTTTTTACGATTAATAACATTTTTGATCCCTCGATTTTGGTAAATTATGATTTGTTCATTGTAATTATATTTGTCTAATTAAGCATATTTAATCTCTTTGCTTATGAAAAATCATAAATTTTTAAAAATATTAATTGTTCTGTCGTTTAATTACTCATATGCTTATATTAAAGCTTTGTATTGTTTCTTTAAATGCGAGAATAATTTACCTTGAACATAGTCAAAATATAATATATTTCCTACATAAAAGAACCAAAGCACACATTTTAACTTATTGAAGGTTAATTAATTATGTTCCTTTTTTAATTTTTTTGGGTCAAATATTACCAAAATTAAAATAAGAATTTATTGATAATTGACACTACTAAATAGGGCCTTTTTGGCGAATACAATCAATTTTAAAGGACTATCGATTAAATGAAACACCCTATCTTTTAGTAGTACGAGGGACTAAAAGTGCTATTATTCCTTATTCCGAATTATAAAAACTTGTTCTATTTTTTTAAAACTAAAAATAAAAGTATATCATATAATATATAATATTATTTTTAAATTTTGATGGTATCTTTTTCTTGGTGAAGTTTCTTGAAGTCTAAATTTATACCTTTTCACACATGATGAGTTAATATGAAAGGGTTAATCTTTGATAAATATAGGACTATGATATTAAGTCAGGGATAATTGGTACCATTGGTTTGATAAACAGACAACATCCGTAAACAGTACTACAAGTACCCCATTTTGACTGAATTAATATTCTGACCGTTTCAATTTGTTCATCTTATTTATTTTTTAAGCTATTTAAAAAAAAATTATGGCTCTATAAATAAATGTTATTCGTTCTTACATAGTAACATTCATAATGTAATTCTATGGGCTTTGAAAGTTTTGTCTAGGGAGGAATTGGTGGGACACAAGTGATACGTTATCATTTGTATGAACCTCTTTGTAATTCGAGTGAATTGGGTGAAGTTATTTCTTTCTATATTTTGTACTCTCATATTTATATAGTGGATTGTTCATCTCCTTTGTGGATATAAGTCGGTTAACCAAACCACGTTAAATCTTTGTGTCTTATGGTATATTTCTCGTTTGGCCTCTTACTCGTGGTCTTTCGAGGTTTGCTTTGTTAACTTTCGTATGATCGACCTAATTATTTCGGTCCTAACAAGTTCTAACTTACTACATGACATGTTTAAGATCATAAGATTAAAAAACATATTTTACGTATCTTTAGTTTTAAGATCACAAGATTCAGAAGTCTTCTTTATTTTTTCAAACTTCGTTTTGGATAATTATGAGCTTAATTAGTTAGATGGTTGGTTAGTCGTCTTAACTTTCACTTTATTTGTAAGAGTTTAATTCTCCATATTGTAATTTTCTATTTATGTCAAATTAAAATCAGACAAATAAATTAAAGAGCGTATTAATTATGGTTTTGGCCTTATTATTGCTGTGAAAATTGATGCCAAAGCTGCAACTTGCAAAGCTTTTTGTTCACTGCTTCTACTTTTTGGTCATGGTCTTTTAACTGTTACTCTACTATAAATGTGTGTTGCAAAATTTTTCCACGTTATTTCCTTTTAAAAATATGTTTAAATTACATTTGGAAAAGACAACTGGCGGTCGTTGGGCATGGTATGATATGGTACGGTATTTAAAAATTTTGATATCATAACTTCGGTAGGTATCTAAAGTACTATATCATTACCATACCAAATTAGCTCGATATGATTTGATATATTTAATTTTAGTTTTGATATTTTACAATATGATATTCAATAACTATAATTTATTTGACTTCAATTTACATATATTTATAACTCTCCATACGATTCATTTAGCCAAAAAAAAAAAAAAAAAAACTGTTGAAGTAGGGGAATTAGAGGCAAGTTCACGTGTACAATCTGTAAGACCATATTAAATATCTACCCTTTTTTGTTGACCAAATTAAATACCTTTCAAACTTCACAGTGCACGTGCTTATATTATTAAAGGAAAAAAAAAGAAAAAAAAACAGCTCTTAATTAAATATATGTCCGTTTATTTTTACTTATCTATAATAAATTTTATATATTTCTTAAGAAATAATACATAAAATATGTATTTTATCATAATGTCCATATTGATTGGTGTATTATAAGTAGTTAATATTAAGTGTAAATAAACAAAAAAATTATCTTTATCTTGATATGCTGAAGTGAACAAGTAAAACCTTTTAGTATATAGTTAAAACTTAATAAGAATTGAATAAGTTGAAGTATAACTTTCATTTAAACTCATTTAAGCTCAAGAAACTTTGATCCATTCACATTCAATTCATCTTATCTGTTTATATTCAATCTAACTTGCCTATTTAACACCTCTGATAAGCATTAAAATACGAATATCAAATTTCGAACCGAAACAAAAGAACTTTGAGTTACCAAAGCACTTTAGTACGTACAACTTAAGTTCAAAGTAGTCCAACTTACATTACTATGCAAAAAAAATAAAAAATGATAAAGATTTGGAAAGATTTGTCAACACAAAACTAGTTTCAAGAACACTATTGTGTACTGTGCCGTGGGGGTGCGTGGGTGGGGGGATATGAAAAATAAAAGGTAAAATCTAATAAAGGATGCATTTGGTATGAAGACAAATATTTTTAACACAATAAATCTTATTTATTTTTTTAGTTTTGATAGATAAGCAAAATAATATTATTCTAAAAATATTTGTATATAATTGAGACAAATAGTACTATGGGAGGTCACTACAATAAAAGAAAAATTTAGTCGTAATAGATTTTACTTAATATTTATGTAAAGATATGTAGCAGCAAATAAGTTAACATCATTGCATATGGGGCCACTAAAGCCTTTAGTGGAACTTAAATAGAGTGTTAGTTAATATTACCCTATATATTATTACCGTTAAATATAATACAACAACAATCATATTATAAATGCAAAATTCATTATTTATTGTAATGCGTGAGTATGGGTAGATAGGGGTGTGGAATGGTGGAAATGGGGGCTACGGGGTGGGGTGAAGATAAGGTGTGTTGGAACACTAGTGAAATTTATTTTTTCTATTTTCATTAGAAAAATTATTTTCCTCAATTTTAAGAAATTTGTTTTCCTCGAGAAAATATTTGACCAATCAAATATGGAAAAATTGAAAAATATTTTTGAAACCAAGCACACCCAAAGAGCTGCATTTTATTCGCCTCTCAGCCGATAGGAATTAGGACTATGTTCTTTCATCTTTAATTAGAGGTCTCAAATTTAAACACTAAATATAGAATATTTTTGTCTTTGTAAAGGAACATTTTACCCCTCCAATATGATTTTTTTTTTATAAGAATCCAAATTTTATTGCATCTCAACACTAATATCGAGCACTAGATGAGAACTCGAAAAAAAAACTTGGTCAATCACAAGTTTTATAAAATATTACTTTAATCTAAAATTGGTTTCAAACTGCTATTTCATGATACAGAAACTATATAATTATACAAATATTTCTACCATATTCGTTGATTCTCCTTTTAGTTTGAAATAATTGTATTTTACTTACTATTTAATAATTTCATACAAGATTTCAAGTCAAATACATGTGAATCACAGTAGATACAATTTATATACATGTATCTAGTGCGATTCACATGTATTTGGGATACTAGATACGCGAGAAAAATATGAGAGTGTCGATCGAGTTGGGAGGTAAGCGAGCAAGATTTGTTTATGTATCCCAATAATAAATACATGCAAATTACACTAGATACACAATATATACATGTATCTAGTGTTATTAACATGTATTTGGGATACCAGATACACGAGAGAGATATAAGAGTGGCAGGAGAAGTGGAAAGGAGGCGAACGAGATTTATCTATGTATCCTAGATAAATGTGAATCCACTTGGATAATGTATCTAGAACAAATTACATCTAATTTTCACTCATTAATCCCGATATACATGTATCTGGACGCATCAAAACTTGATAAGATTCGTAATACTATAAACTAGCGTTATATAATTAATCAGCTCCTAAACTAGCGAAGTTTACGTAAATTACCCATTCATGATCCAATAGTAAGTCCATCTGACCAACATATATAGGGCTGAAAAGTCGGACCAAAACCTTTAAGGCTCAAGCCCAATTTCGGCCCATATATCGATTTCACACATATGTTCCTCTTTTAGGCTAATCATTGAGATCTATACTTCTTAAAAAAAAATTAATGTGATCTAATATATTTTAATAAAAATTTTAATTAGTTAAAAAAAAAAATCTTTAGAACGTGGTATAGAAGAGAGGAAAAGGACGATTAATCAGTTTGAAAAATTAAGAAATAACACACATGTTACAATAAAAAAAAAATCAAACTATTTAAAAAGTATTACGCGTTTCTCCTTGAAAAAATGAATTTGTGGCCATCCACTACTTGAGGAAGTCTAGGTGATGCAAAGTGTATTCTCTGTACAAATTCTATATCCGTCATATTATGGTAAAAAAAACTTGTTATTTTTTATACTCATGATGATGTATTTATACGTTACAAGTATGGTATACGAGAAAAATAAGCTATTGAATTAATGGACTCGACCCAATAGCTATTTCTATGTTATTGTCCCCCCCATGTATTGTAAATTACT